CACATCTGCACACCTCTCCAAATAGTAAGTATCGCAAGGTCCTATTCTGGCGAAAGGATGCCAGCCTGAATTGAAAGAAAGTTTTAAAAAGGATTCTAATATGAATCACACATGCTCTCAGGGATACCGTATACGTCTTGCATTCCTAGCCTCTAGATATGGAGAGTCCTGCAGGTTTTTTTGTGGGGGGAGGATTAAATAAGATTTCCCTTCAAACAGTGAAGTACGCAGCAGGTTTTTCCCCCCCACATTTCCACAATTAAATATATATATTTATGGATAGTTAATCCAGATCTCCTTTCTGATGATGGCTGGATAGATTTTGATGGCACTCGGTGCAATTTTTGTTATCTTTCAAAACATCATACGCTCTTTTACACCTTCTGCACTAATTTATAAGTCACACACCAGGAAGAGTTTTGCTAAGTTGACAATGCCGTCCTATATGTGCCTGCTTAAAAATAAACCCTGTTGTGTTAAATGTGCATAGGACCTAGAAAGGTTTCCGATGAAAGAGGCTGGAGATTAAAGGTCTGCACCATCAATAGTTGGTGGGTGCTGGGCACCCTAAATTCCTGGGTCTAGAAAGTGTTAGAATTTAATTAAGGCTTCGGGTGTTAAAACTGTATTGAGCTGTGTACTGGACACTTCTAAATCCTCTGGAATCAGCTTGTGTTTATAGCTAATTAAGCCAGTGTAAGGTGATAGCCTGCGGTAATGTGCCATTAGCACAACAGAGGATCAAAGGAATTATGGCAAATGTGCGGGGCCAACAGCTTACAGTAGAGAGCATGAGAAGCAATGTCAGCTAGAAGCTTAGAGAGTTTAGGAGCGATGTAACACAGAGGTAGAGGGATGCGGGTGGCACTGTGGGTTAAACCACAGAGCCTAGGACTTGCCGATCAGAAGGTCGGCGGTTTGAATCCCTGCGACGGAGTGAGCTCCCATTGCTCGGTCCCTGCTCCTGCCAACCTAGCAGTTCAAAAGCACCTCAAAGTGCAAGTAGATAAATAGGTACCGCTCCGGTGGGAAGGTAAGCGGCGTTTCCGTGCACTGCTCTGGTTCACCAGAAGCGGCTTAGTCATGCTGGCCACATGACCTGGAAGCTGTACGCCGGCTCCCTCGGCCAATAAAGCGAGATGAGCGCTGCAACCCCAGAGTTGGCCATGACTGGACCTAATGGTCAGGGGTCCGTTTACCCTTTACCTTTATTAACACAGAGGTAAAGTAGCAAGCTGCCGAAAAAGAAAACACAAGGGCTGGTGCCTGTCTGAATCCAGGGCTGTGTCTATGGGAGAACCAAGACTCTGCTGTGCAGCCTTCCATCGTAGGCTCAGGGCGCCTATGTGTGTAAATAAACCACGTATCAAAAAGACACCACAGACTCTCCTGTGCCCCATTTCCAAAAGGTAACACGGGTCCTGAGTAAGTTCACCTGGAACTCCTGACATCCCAAACTGCTCAGAGATTGGGGCGGCAGGCAATAATATGTTCTAGCTGCATGTGTGCATGTATCTATTAAGACACACATGCTAGTCAAAGTCTGCGATTTAGTGAATGCAGACAAAGGTTGTCAGCGCCTACGAAAAATGTGTTTCCTATTCTTTGCAAAGAAGGACATACTGTGAAGCGAGGATTTCAAACACCAGAAAGATAAAGCCCCAGAGGCTATGGGATCTCTTTTCTCAGAAAAAGGTGGGCACAGCTTTCTCTCGGGAAAGTTTCAGGTGAGAGGTAAGGCCATCTTTTTTTTTTTCAGACAGCCAAAAGTGATCATCTTTTAAAAAAATTATTCGTTGGGTTTCTAGGTTGCTTCCTGGCCATTCACCCAAAGGTGCTTGCAAAACATCTCCTGCGATATAAAATAAGCCATCATTAAAACCAGTGATTTGCAGAGCATTTTCCTAGCGGTATAAAGGTTTTCTCAAAACAAAAGCCTTCTTCAAAATGGATTGTTTGGGGCTAACCTTCCAGAGGTGCCCAAATGTGTTAACTTTTGCTGGGCGAGGAAGTTCTAAATGTAGGGGTGCAACCGAGCATTACTGCCCCGGAATATATGCAGAGACATCATTGCCCCAAACATACAGAGCTCCCGTTGCCCACAATATAAACACATTTAATTTGCCTGTAAATTCTGGAGCAAACTGGTATTTAAAATACAGTCCCCTACAATAACTGCCTATCAGAGGTAACATCAGGATGAGCATGCTAAGACTATGGACAACAATTCTTCTCCCCTAAGATCTTCAAATATGCCCTTTATATATATATATAAAATCCCATTGCCTCTTTTCAGACACAGGTCTAGGATGTCCTGCTTAGGGAGACGAGATCGAATGAAGCAAACCCAGAAGCAGTGATTTCTATCCCTGCGACCATACAGGTCAGAAGGATTCTGGAGCAGAGCTTGAGTTTAACACCAGGGAGAAGATGCTTCTTTGCAAAACAGTACCCAGGTGTGTTTTCCCCCACTTCCACCTTTAACAGTACAGGGGTACATTGCATTAAGTATCTATACTTGATGAGTGGTAATGACATTCTCACTGCTTAGCAGGTTGATACCAGGGGATAACCTACTGGTGGCTTTGCGATACGGGCTAGATTCCTATCGTGTGCTGTTAAGCACTTGGTGAATTTTTCAGCTGTAGCAGAATTCTTACAACCCTCCTGCTTCCTTCTCCAGCTTTCAGATCCGGTGCAGATGCGTGGCAGAAATCCCACCAACCTGGGAAGGCAGATGAGCAACATATCCACTGCCTGAGGTCTTTTTTGAACAAGAGACAGCACAGATCGAACCCGTTTGCAGCGCGTGTTCTCTACCGCAGAACTACGGCCTGTCTGCAACCCTTCAAGGCTGATTTGCTCTTGCAACCTGATCCTATTTAGCATGTTCCGTTGGATCCAGCGGGACTTATTTTCTGTACAATTCCTACCCTATATGTGGTTACTCGGGACTAAGTCCCATGGTGTTCAGGGAGATTTACACCCCAGGAAATGCCTTTCAGGCTGCAGACTAAGTACCAGGTCTCTCCCATCTGCAAAACAAACCAGCCTTGCAGGGTGGTTGTGAAGACCGGCCATAATGTGCTTTTAAAAAAACGTAAAATTATCGAGAAGATCAAAACCCTTTGGCTGTCAGACACGGGAACAGCAAAATACACATTTAACACATATTTGCGATGGACTTTTGTTCTGGACAGCAAACAGATCCTTAAAGTCTTTTGAAATGTACCATGAATGGCAAGGCCAGGCAAATCCCGCAAGCATTTCTCCATCTTTCCCAAAGTTTAGTGAACTTTAAAGGGGCAGCTGGTGGTTCTCAGCAGAAGGCAAGGACGGAGCCCTGAAAGTCAAGTTTCTACCCCCAGATTCAGCTGCCGCTACCATTGCAACTTTTAAAACTGAAAAGCGAAATAAGCCTCCTTTTCCATCTCTATGAAAGTTGCTACTGTCAATTGCTTCTAGGGTAGGAAACACGAAACATTTACAGCTGGTGTCTCCTGTCGGAACAGCTTCAGCTATGCACAGACTTTCAAGTGACGCCGGACAGAAGGAAAGAGTTGCAAAAATGCAGGTATAAGGAACCAAAGGTGTCCTGTTTGTTAGCAGCTTACTCACAAAGGTTGTTTTATTATTATTATTTTTAAAAGGATGGTGCTGGGTATCTGTATATGGAAGCTGTTCGGGAGGAAAGAACGGTTCCGTTATTTCACAGTGGAAACCACTGACGCCAAGCAATTCAGACACGCTTGTAAATAGCAACCAACAAAAATATGCATTTAGCAGAGTTTGGGGGGTTTTTTCCCCGTTGTTTAAAGGCAGCGCACAGTTGTTGTTTTTTTTACACAGCTCACGTCGTTAGTCAGAAAGGAAATTGCTCCTGTCGTTGGAAACAATTGCTCAAAAAGGGAGCCTGCCAAAAGAGGAAGAAAACATAGAAAGAAACCTTAAACCTGTGTGACTTACCAGCCCGAAGACGGAACTAAGCACCGTGCAGCATATGACCAGACCCAAGCTGTGGTTCATCAGATAGGATCCCATAGCCAAAGGGAGACTCTTTGCAACATCCAAGAAGTCTCAGGCAGGCTGGACTGTCCTGTAATCCTGTCGCCGTGTTCCTTGAGGTACTGGCAGACCCCAGTTTGTTGATGGGGGTTTCGGGGTTCAGGGGGGAAAGGTGGGGCGAGGTGGCAGAGTTAGCCCCAAAGGCAGGAGGCAAGGAAGAACAGCTCTTTGCCTCGCTTTCTCATGACTGAAGAGTTTCAAAGGGGTCGGAAGAGTCAAAGCGAGGAGCGGTGCATGGAATGGGGGTGCTGAGCGCCCCAAGAAGACACAGCCTCAGTCCCTGGTGGCAGGGCCTTCTGCCTGAACACATCTGTCCCCTGGCTGACAAATCACATCCATATGTCAAAACTGCTATTCCGTTTCCCTTTTCTTTTTTTTTTCTCTCAAGAGGCAGTGGGAAGTTCAAACCATTTCTTTGTCAAACACAAACACACTTTCTCAGAAGGGGCGGGGGGAAGGGGGTGGAGGGGAGGGGTTGGGGGAGTTGTAAAGTGGGGTGGGGGGGGAAGGAGGAGGGAAAGAGCTTGAAACCACTAGGTTTATTTTTAGCAGCAGTGATTTTGTCGAGCAGGTCTCTAAAGTCTGTTAAATAGAGGGCGGGGGGGAATCTTTTCTGGAGTTTTTGCAGAAAGCAAGCACAAAAAGTAAGCTCGGTTTCCGTAAGGGAGCCTGAAATCTTTTGCTTTTCCCGCTCCCAGTTCAGAATTACGTGCTGTTTCCAAAAGCAAACAAGCCCGGGTCGCTTTGTGGAGGAACAGCTCCGATGCGCCTCGCCTGGCTCCCGAGTCTCTTAATCATAAATACCTTCGTGCCTTCTCCTTCTCCATCTCCTCTCTTTACTTTGCAGAGCTTCCAAAATTAAAAAAAAAAGGGGGGGACCCCCGCCGCCGATTGAATGAAGCGTGGAAACGTGGAGCAGGCTGGAGGGTTTCCTTTTAAAAGGCGCCTGGCGGTCTTGCAGCTTTTTCCCCCTTTCCTTTTTCTGGCGGGGGGTGGGCAGTAGAAAAGAAGGGGGGCAGAAATCCCTCCAGACCTTCTCTCTGCCCCGCGATCCACAAACCTGCAAGAACTCCGAACCGGTTCCTCCGGCGTCGCTCAGCAGCGCAATCGGCGACGAGGCGGAAAAAGGCTGTTAACGTGGAGAGAGAGATAGAAAAAGTGGTGGCTCTCGCGTTCCTGCTCGCTCCTCGCCTCGCCTGCCGCTGCTGCTGTTGGCCGCTGGATCGACTTGCAGCCTCCTTTCTCGAAATGAACACGCTGACAGTCTGTTTACTTCCACATCCACAGAGAAGGGGAGGTGTGCATTTCTCTCTTTTTTGCGGAAAGCCGAGAGCCCGGTTTCCATTAGGCGGCGGCGAGCAAAAGCGCACGGCGTCCGCGCCAGCCAGGGCGCATCTTTGCCCAAGGAAAAGCTCCGGAGGTCGCCAGAAACTCTTCAGAGGCCGCCGTGCGCTCCTTTTTTTCCTGCGGAGAAAGATCCCAGGCATTCAATTCAAGTCTCTCTCTCTCTCTCCACGCCCCTTCTGCTCCCCTCTGTTGGAACTGACCAGTTTCGTCCGCTCCCTCGAGCAACAGCGCTTGTCAAATTCTATCCAGCGGGATGCGTAAAATCCGCCAGACCCAAATCGATTTCTCCAACGCAGGCCGAGGGAAGCCCCGGTGTTGGGGAGGGGAAGGGACGGCAGGGGAGGGGACGGTCCCGATCCCGTGCAGGTTTACGCGGGAGTAAGCCCCGCGCTCATGTAAGAGTGCTTAGAGATTGCAGAGTCGTGCCAAGGAGTGCGTTACAGTCTTTTTCCGGCAGCCCAACATTACAAGAAAAATTGCTAGTGTGGCTTCAGAAACTGAACCCGAGGGAAGTTATTCGCCGCCGCGCACGGTGCATGGACTTTTTGCGGGACGCATTGCGCTTAAAACGACCCGAGGCTGTGCGCTTTCACTCGGGAGTAAGTCTCGCCGGATCCGACGGGGTTTACTGCGAGGTAAGCGTGCACAGGGTGTGTGCAGTTGGACATCTGTATTCCTACCTATGCATGCTTACTCGGGACTGCGGGGGGGACGGGCTTCCTCGCAAGTAATTGCATCAGTGGAACCGGAGCGTTATAGCCCGGGTCTCATAGTGCGTTTACTCAGACGTAAGCGCCACTAAGTTCAGCAGGGGCTGGTTTCCAGCTTAACAGCAGTGCATACGAGCTGGCAACTTTAAGCGCATTTACTCGGAAGGAAGCCCCAGCGTTTGCAGTGGGACTTACTCCCAGAAAGTGAATGCATGGGATTTTGGCAATGATGCTTTGAAAACTCTCCGTTATCTTTTTTTGGGGGGAGGGGGGACTTAGCATTTTTGAGAATGGGCGAGACACTATTGAGCACCAGATGAGCTCTGCAGGAATCTCCACGGCTGGTAGCTTCCTCAGAGTAGACCCATTGACATCAACGGCCACGGCTCACTGAATGGGCCCCTTCATTTTCAATGGGTCTACTCTAAGTTTTTTTTTTTAAAAGCAGAGTTGGACGCCACCCTAAGTCCATCTTGAAAAAGCAAAATTATTATTGAGAGTTTAAATAGCTCCAGATCGGCTTGAATGGGGCGCCTTCAGCAGACTTTATGAAAAGGGTCTCTCTCCATCCCAGGCTCTCAGAGGGAAGACTTCCTGTAAAAGAGGGAGAGAGGACGGCTGCTAACACAACCTCCTTCTCTGAGGCTCTCAAGGAAGAGATGTGTGTGCGTAACCAGGAGCCAGCTATAAAAGCCCCCAGCCGGTGGAGATGGCCCCCATTGGCGGCCTGCGCCTACCACGTGACCCTCAGGCAGGCAACCGCAAGGCTGGAATGGCCACACCCCTCACCCACCCCCTCCCTTCCTCCTCCTCCTCCTCCTCCTCCTCCTCCTCCTCCTCCTCCTCCTTCTCTAGGTGGGAGGGGAAGCGGTTGCTGATGCTGGAAGTTGCAGCTTTCGCCCGTCGCTCCAGAATCTCAGCAAACTGAAATCCTTGGATTGGCGTGGGGAGAAATATATTAAATTCCTGCATTGCAGGCGGTTGGACTGGACCAGGGCCGGATTTAAGTATAAGCTAAACATGGTACAGTGGTACCTCGGGTTACATACGCTTCAGGTTACAGACTCCGCTAACCCAGAAATAGTACCTCGGGTTAAGAACTTCGCTTCAGGATGAGAACAGAAATCGTGCTCTGGCGGCGCAGCGGCAGCAGGAGGCCCCATTAGCTAAAGTCGTGCTTCAGGTTAAGAACAGTTCCAGGTTAAGAACGGACCTCCGGAACGAATTAAGTACTTAACCCGAGGTACCACTGTATAGCTTAGGGCCCCACTCTCTTGGGCCCCCCCCCAAAAAAAAATTAAAGGAAAACAACAGCCTGGCTGTACATTTCCAAAATATGAGATAAAAAAATAAAAAATAAAACCTACATACAGTGGTACCTCTGGATACGAACGGGATCCGTTCCGGAGCCCCGTTCATATCTAGAAGCAAATGTAACTAGAGATGGCACGTCTGTGCATGCACACGTCGCGTTTCGCCGGTTCCGCGCATGCGTGTGACGTCATTTTGGCCGTCTGTGCATGCACAAGCGGCAAAACCTGGAAGTAACGCACTCCGTTACTTCCAGGTTGCCGCGGAGCGCAACCCGAAGCGTATTCAACCCAAAGCGCATTCAACCCTAGGTATGACTGTATTTTGTTATGTGCAAATGGCTTTAGATACCCGTTAGGTCCATAAATATCCATATAGCATATATTCAACACAAAAAACAGGGACAATTTGTTGTTGACAAAGGACAGCTGGACATAGAAAGGGCCCTATTACCTTCAGGAGCTTAGGGCCTCATCGAACCTCCCCAACGATGCAATTCCACAATTGTTTCATTTCTATTGAAGTTTAATTGCTGTCTCGTGTTACTTGAGCTCTTCTATGCTTTCAGCTTTTCGAACTCGTGAGTTGAGTTGGTGTACTATTTGTATCCCCTCCTGCTTTTTCCAACAACAAATGGGGAGCTCAAAGCAGCTTTCGGTCATCGTCGTGGCATTAAAAAGAAGCAGCAGCAAATATTGCAATGCTATAATATGAAGCATGATAGCAGATAAAGCAAACAGCAGCAACAAACTCATCAAAATAAGTGATGCGATGCCATAAAGTCATAGAAATTCAAAGTACTGCCAATAATTATTCCTTTTTTAAAAATACCACTTTCACTGCGCAGCAATCCCTCTTGCTATTCTGGCTTCTGGGATTCAGAATATTTTTGTCTTGTTTTCCTCCTCCAAAAACTAGGTACATCTTATGGTCTGGTGCGTCTTATAGAGCGGAAAATATGGTATATTTTTATTAAGTTTTACATAACAAGTTTAAATTCAAACATATCATTCACCTTCTCATTTAGGATTCTCTGAATCCCTTGACTTCCCCCTGCCCTTCCATGGTTACCATTATCAATCGTTCTTTTCATCTGCTTATATTCTCTAATTTGTAAAAAATAGTAATCCATTTGTCCATAGTTTTTCATGCATTACAAGCATTACTCAAATCCTGCCAAAGTTTTTAGTTGTTTGCAGTGTTCTCTTAAATACAGTGGTACCTCGGGTTACAGACGCTTCAGGTTACAGACTCTGCTAACCCAGAAATAGTACCTCGGGTTAAGAACTTTGCTTCAGGATGAGAACAGAAATCATGCTCTGGCGGCGCGGCAGCAGCAAGAGGCCCCATTAGCTAAAGTGGTGCTTCAGGTTAAGAACAGTTTCAGGTTAAGTACGGACCTCCGGAACGAATTAAGTACTTAACCCGATGTGATGGGATTATGAGCTGCTTGTGCGTAAAATCGTATTCCCTCAGAGTTTGTTCAAGTCCACAAACCTCTGTCTGTGACTGAGCCCCTCTGACATGGCTCCTCTAGTCACTAGAAGATTCCGACAGTGGTTGCTTTCGTAATCGCTTCCAACATAAAAGCTCCTTAACGGAAACACGTCTTCTGGACTCTCTGCGTGACAGTTTCCGGCGAGGAGTGGGTGTCGCTACAGGAGGTCCGGAAACCTCACCACTGTTTTCGCTGGAAGTATCTCTGAGCCATCCCCCCCAGCTCCCTTGCCCTCCGTTCAGCTTCTCTCCCCCCCTGCTGGTTTCCTCTTCCGCTGCTGAGTCTCTTCCAACCTGTCTGAGCCCTGCTGAATCTCTTCCAACCTGTCTGAGTCCTTTTACCTCCCTTCCTTCCGATGGCAGTTCCCTGACATCCACCTCCCCTCCAGGGCCCCCTTCACCCCCTCTCGCCCCCTCCTCTACGGGCGGTGAGGAGGCAAAACCCCGGAATGAACTTCCTTCATCTTCCGATGTCTCGAACACTTCTCTCCACCTGTTGCGGTTCCTGGTCTCAAGCACTCCTCCTCCTCCGAGTCCATCTCCCCTTCCCCTTCCGATTCTGGGAATCCTTCCAACTCCTCCTCCTCCTCAGTGGTCCCAAAGTATTCCCTCCGGAACCTCTCCACAGGCTGAGGTTTCCGCGGGAACCTTTGATGGAACATTTCTATCAATACCTCGTCATTGATATCTTTGGCCATTACCCACGTGTTTTCTGACTCCGGTTCTCCTTCCCACGCTACCAAATACTCCACCTGATTCCCCTTCCACCTGGCATCAAGGATTTCTGCCACATGACTGCTGCATTCTCTTTCTTCTATGACCGGTCCCCGAGTGGCCATCCCTTCTCGTCCCCTCGTACGGTGACAGTAACGACCTGTGAAATACTGGGTGCAGTTTCATGTGGTTGGGTAACCGGAGCCTGAAAGCCACTGGGTTGACCTGTTGAATGACCTCAAAGGGACCCAACCTCCTGGGTCGTAATTTCTTACAACCTCCTTTGAACGGCAACCCTCGGGTTGACAGCCACACCCTATCTCCAACCCTTATGGTTTCACCTTCCCTTCGGTTCTTGTCTGCCTGCCTCTTGTATTCTTCCTTCGCCCTTTCTAAGTTGAGTTGGAGCTGACGGTGGATTGCTTCCATTTCTTCTACAAAATGCTCGGCTGCCGGTACGCTCCATCTCTCCCCTTCTCCCCCTGGGAAAGCCCTGGGATGACACCCATAATTAGCCAAGAAGGGGCTCATCCCTGTGGACACATTCTCGGCATTGTTGTAGGCAAATTCCGCCAGCGCCAACTTTTCTACCCAGTCATTCTCTCTGTCATTGACATAACACCTCAGGTATTGCTGGAGGACACCGTTTGCTCTTTCCGCCTGCCCGTTGGTTTCAGGGTGCCGGGCAGTCGAAAAGTTGACCTCCACCTGCAGTAAGCTCATGAGCTTCCTCCAGAACCTGGAAGTAAATTGTTTTCCTCGGTCTGAGACCACCCTCAATGGCACCCCGTGCAACCTAAAAATGTGTTCTACAAATAACTTCGCTGTCTCTTCCGCCGTGACTGCATGCGAGCAAGCTACAAAGTGGCACATCTTTGTTAGTAGGTCTACCACCACCATGATGGCTG